ACACTGTAAATTTATCAATACAAAAAATATGCAAATATACATTTTGTAAGCTCTAAAAAAATGTGGGGTAGAAAAAATATAGTGTACATGTGCACGAGCGCATTATTATTATTATTATTATATTAATTTTCAATATTAATTTTAGACTAGATTTTATAATAGACGAGATAAAATCTACAGAAAGAAAATACGTAGAAGATTTAACCAAAGTAGTAAAGGTAACTATAAGCACATTGTTTATCGGTTTGTATTTAGATAACTATTATTATCTAGATACAATGATCATAGTAATTTGAAATTAAAGGTAAATACAATGAAAATATTTCTTTTTTAGATATATAAACCTTATATAGAAAATAACACCCCACCTAACCTCAAAAATTATGAAGGATATCTCTTTGGAAACTTCGAAAAAATATATCGACGACAAAAAAAGTTTCTACAGGCGATAGAAAACTGCCAGGACGTAGATCAAATCGTTCAATGCTTTATTGATCATGTAAGTGTATAAATAGTTACTTATAAGGTATTTTACATAATTCTACCATGTAGAGTGTCTTACAATATATATAAGGATTAAAAAGTGTCAACTACATCCCCAGCTAGTTATAGATAAAAGTGTATTATTTGTTGTGAAGCTAAAGCCTAAATCATTCCATCTCTAAATCGGGGTGAGAAAACCGATTTATGGGGGTTATGATTGACGACCTATGTTATTTTTAACAGACACGTTATGTGTAAACAGGTTGTTATTTCTGTGTGTTTATAAAATAACAGACCTGTTAAAAATAACATAAGTCGTCAATCATAACCCCCTAAGTTGGCATAACATAGCTTACCGCTGGTTATCATTCTGCTGCTGTATTGAAAATATTCATGGGCGTATCAGTCTTAAAGGGAAACATTTATTATCAATTAATTTTCTCACTAATTATTTTTTATTCTTATTTACTATTTTAGCAGATATTCATTGTTTTCTAGAAGTATCAAGTGTTCAAATGAGAAAGGACTCCGGTTATTGTTGATTCAAAATACCGCTGGTATTTCAGAAGCTATGAGCCGTAGAATTTAGAAAAAAAAATTGTCAAAATACCTACAACCTACAAGTGATTAAGAAAATTTATGAAAATTATTTTCTATAGTTTCTAAGTTCGCTGCTAGATTGCAAAATGCGTATAATCAATGATAAACGAGTGGATAGTCAAAATTAGTAAAATTTTACAAGTTATTATCAATGATAATGAGCATTGCGCCCTCTATCTGTGAAGTTGAGAACCTAAGTAATTTCCAACTGTTAAAAAAAAAACAACAGATGAATAAATTGTTCCGTATATATGGCCGACGTCCTTTCTTATTTATTTTGGACTCTCAGTACCTACTCTGTAGATTGATTAATACTTTCTTTTTTTGTGAAAGTAGTACCTACAGATTTAAGCTTACTATTTATTATTGAATATACAAATAATTTAAATACCTACTAGTTTCATTAGGTATATAACTTAAGTCAATCACCTCCCATTGAAGAGAAGCTTCTTGCTTGTTTATAAAAATCTAATATCAATAAAAATTGAAAAACTTATAATGGCTGTATCTCATAACCTAAAGATGATATTACCTAATATTACCTAATAGGCCAATCAAGATCCGTGCTTGCAGAAGGTCCGATCGTTCTGAAAGTTTTTATAAGGACCTAAACCAATATTAAAAAACCAAATTTGTAATTTCAAAAACGGTGTGCGAGCGGCGGTGTATCCAAAAAATCGTGAAATTATCGGATTTTTTTCAGTTTTTACTCAATATCCCAGTAAAGGAAGGGTCTGGCTGGTATAGTCACTCTACATTCTTTTGAAGAATACTAAATTTGTTACAATTTGAAACAAGAGCGAGCTCTATGTAGCCATTGGTTCCCATAATACAGTTCTTCGAAAATAGGCCACTTTTTCTCCAAAAATAATTTTTTCGAAATGAAGTTGTAGTAAATTTAATTCGCTTTCATTTGAGACCAGACCGGTACCTGTAGACCTGTAGACACAATGCCGTGTGGCAGCGGAAGAGCACAATTCGAGCTAGGGTTGTCAGACGCCTAGCTTTAAGCGTAATTACCACGATTTTCGGGGTAAAATGGGGGAAAAAGAAAATGAACTGTTCTCAAGTCTTTTTATGGTTTTATTTATCAAACAGTTACAATTTATTTATTTTTGTTATTGTAAAAAAATTGATTTATGAAGAAAGAAAAAGATAATATACTTATTGGGAATCATGTTATCATCAAACATTGTTTTGTATACCTATATACTACAATGCCTATACAAACATCATGTTTCCTACTACTATAAGGACAAATTACATTTATACAATCAAGAATACTAATATAAATCATGTGGGTATTATGTTTTGGTTGCCAAATCATGCCTTTCTATCTTAGATGGCCCGGGCTTCGACTCGCACGAACATAGTGTCTCAATGGCTGTGATGGACGCTGGGAGAGGCGCCCAGTCTGTAGTCGGGTCATCTTCATCGTCCGAGGAATGCAGCTCCAAATCCGAGACGTTAATGCACAATTTGCCACCGCATTTACATGAAATTTTTCGTAGAAGGGCAGGAGGTGCGGAATCCATGGTGGTAGGGATGGTGGTGACTGCCTGAGAAGACACCTTACACCCTCAATAAGTGGGATTAAAGTTGACTCTCCACCACTTCTGCACTTGGAAATAGCACCTTGCTACATGGTAGCATGCGACATCTTCCATCGGTGGCAAACGGGCAAGGTTTATGCTCGTTGAAGTATCCCTTGCGATGTCACCTTTTCGTTGCCCTGATATCCCTCATGGCCTGACACCCAGGCTAGGGTCACCTTGTTTTGACTACTTAGCTCTGCCAGGTCTTCTAGACAGTCTTTTACCAGTCGTGATTTGATTTCTGGTGAGAAAATTGCCTTCAGAGTATATGGCAATAGTTTTGCCTGATACTTGCTGATTTAGTATTTCTCTTGCACAGTGTTGTATGAGTATTAGTTCAGCCTGGAACACTGTTGCATATTTTCCTAAACTTATGACTTAAAGAAAATTTTGGTGGTAAAACCTCACGCCATCATACACGCGTTTCTGTCGACCGATTCGCATTCGGTTTCTGCATGAAACTGTCGACATCACAAAGGAGGAAATAACATATGTAGAGGTCCAAGCTAAGCAATTACGCAAGACCGTAATACGAAATTTAAAGGGAGTGAGATATGTACGGCATACATTGCTTCTGACAATGGTTCAATTCGGCAACGAGCACAACCTCCACAATGAGATGCCACATATGTGGAAAAATTTCTAAAAGCTTTAATGATTATGAAAATTCGGGTATGGAGGAATTCCAATCGTTACGATTTGGCTTGTCAATTCTTCACGCCAGGATCCGTTTCTTCGGACCATATTACATCTTGCATACAAACCCCCTTTGAAAAAATGGCAAGGCAAAACACCTGAAGATAAAAAGGCGGTTAAAGAAAACAAGGAACGAATCCAAAAGGAATACAGAGAAAGGACTGGCTTGATAATAGATATGCTAAAAGCAGGTTTTGGAAACTCCAATTTGCGCAACACTTCACGAAGGTTTTTTAGTGACCTAGACCTAGCTTCTGAAATTACAGGCATTGTGAAAGTTTTTATACAAAGACTTAAGGTTGTTGTAGAATCCTTATCATCGGGCCACAAAATCAACCTAACAAAGTTCGCGGAATATACCAAAGAGACTGCAAAGATGTACGTGAAGCTGTACGGGTAGCATCCAATTCTGCACAAAATTCTTGTACATGGCGCAACAGTTGTAAATCACGCTATTCTACCAATATGAAGAAGCTGCAGAGGCCCGCAACAAACATCTTCGCTTATACCGACAAAATTTCGCACGAACATTTTCAAGGATTCAGTGCAATAAAGATGTTTTAAATAGGCTTCTGACTTCCGATCCTTTCCTTAGTTGCAACCGAAAACGACAACAGAGAAAAAGCCAGCCCTTCTCATGTGAAACTCCTCGAGGCAGAAGGACCGGAAGTTCAAGACAAAATAGAACAATGAATGATTCCGATGCATCTGAACCTGATTTCAATGTTTTTTCACCTTGTTACTGTTAATATATATGATAAACGTATACAGACAAGCATTTTTATTCATCTCCATAAAAAAAATTCTCAAATAATTTTGACCGGTTTTTGATGCTAAATGCTTGTTAGTGGCGTCTGTGTACCGGACAGTTCAGCCTGTACGGGAGGTCCCTGTTTCCAGGATTCTAGGGCTGATAATTGAATTTGTAGACATAGCTAGAATATTGTCCCTTTTAACTTGCTGACGTTTCTCTGTTCTAGAGCCTTGGTTATTGACCTGGTTGAGGCATTGTTGAAAGCTCCTTCGATGGCTAATAATAATTCATTTCCTTGCTATTTTTCCGAAGATAAAAAACTCTTTGGAGTAGTTTATATAGCATTAATTTTTAAATTCCAAGGTTAAAATGTATTGTTAGAAGTTAAAAGAATTAACTTCAAAATTATTGTTTTAAAATGATTTAGCACCCTGTATACTATAACACCCTGTATAGCCACTTCATAAAACATGTGTTAACATGGTTTTATAACGTTTTATTAAATATATCGTAAACAATGTTTGAAATGTAATTAATTAAGGAACAAAATAAAGAATGTCTTTAAAGGGCATAAGGCCTATCACTTCCTCGCGTTCGGCTGGTCTAAAGTCAAGTCCCCGCTCTCGGCGCTCTCTCCTGGTCCTGAACACTAAAACACATAAACGCAGTATTGTTGACCCCAGTGGGGGCGACATCCTAATTCGCTGACTCTAACAGACACTGCAACGGGCAGACGTGGTGCCGTCGACCCCAGTCGCGGCGATATCCTAATTCGCTAACTCTAACAGTATGAATAATTTTGAGGTATTGCACAATATTATAACTTACTTAAATACGGATCAAGTTGAGAATTGAATAAAATAGGAATTAGACATTCCCGGCAAAATTCATAACAAAATCATAATTTAAAAAATATTTCCAATATATTTGAACAATTCTTAATTCTGGGTTATGAATCCAAATTTCCATTGCTTCAAAGTTTATAGGAAACCTGCGTAAAAAATTACTAATAATATTCTACAATATAGGTAAAATAGTTATTTATGCAACAAGTGTGTAAAGTTACCCTTAAAAGGGACTTTACACACGAGTGGCATACAATATTTTTTCTACTACCGTACACATAATCCACTAATATTAGAAATATAAAAGTTACTTTTTTTCACTAGTGAAAAAAAGTACTTTACTTTACGCACTAGTGAAAAAAAGTAAAATGTGCCAAAAATTGTACACAGCAACAAAAATAAATTTATTGGAACTTTACAAATTTATAATTCTTACAGAACAAAATGACTAACAAATGAAGAAATATTTAAAAAAATAGGTTTTTAACTCTTATGAATATTAATATTGAATGTGCAATTATTGCAATTACCAAAACTCAAGGTTTTGACATTTCCAGCACAGAGTTTGAAAAATGTTGTGATATTACTTCTGTAACCCTATTTTGAGCTTCGAGTGTGGATTTGGCCTTTTCAAGTAAAGAGGTTGAAATATTTTGTGTAACTCTAGTTTCACTGTCGTGTGGTTCCACTAATTCTTCATTAGAGTTGTCAACGGTAAAATTGTAGCTTTGTTTGGAAGTGGATGGCATACTGTCATCCATCAAAATTTTATTAGAAATTTTGTTTTTTTTGTGTTATTGTGCTGTCTACGTAGCCTTCTGCAACAGCAGATGATTTCCATCCTCCATGTTTTTTGACCGTTAGAAGGTCTCCTCCAGAATTTGCCAGCATAGTGGCTGAAGACCTCCTAAAGCAGTGTCCTGGAAAAGCCGTTGGATTGGGCAAGTTTAGATACGTTGCTATAACACTTGGCATTTTACCAAAAGTATTTATCCCTATAGGCTGTTTAGAGTATTTTCCATTTGCGAATTTTAAAAAAAATCTGTTACAATTTATATTTGATGGTCTTAATGAGGTATATTTTTTTATGAAAGATAAATAATCAACTGCAGAATTATTTGGATTTAAAATCGTAAAAATGCGTTCTATTCCATTTTTGGTTTCTGATACTTTGACAATATACACTGTTTGTTTATCTTCCACATCGTTAATTGTCATTTTACATAATTCTTCCCGGCGACAATCTCCCGCAATTCCAATTATAAAAGCTACCTAAAAAATAACATATTGTAATGTTACAAATAATTTATTAAACATTAGGAAATATCTTGACGTTGCGCATGTAAAACTCCAAATAAATGCTATTGTAAAAAATATAAAAGTTTTAGGTATAATGTGCTGCCTAACAACCCCGGTGGCCTGTTAGGACAGCAACTGATTTTGTTAGGCAACACACCATACGAACACACATCTCGTTGCAAAACTTTACAGAATATTTTAATTTTATATTGAGCATTCAAGCATTTACTGAGGAATTTACTTACTTTGATCATTAAAAACTTGGAATCTGGAGCTTTCAACAGAAAATTAATTAGATCTTCTCGTTCAAAAATTTTGGATTTTTTTGGTTTATAACCTTTATTTGTTTGTTTAAGAAACGCTATTAACTTGTTGAATTTCGAAATATCAACGTTGTTTTTATATTTTATGGTGCTTTTAAGCATAGAATAAATCGACCATAGGGTAGAAGCTTTGCAATTCTTCAATTCATCAGAGAAATATGCTAAAATAACGTTTTCCGAATATTTTGTCACCTTATTTTTCCTAGACCATTCTATAAATGCATTGTATTTTTGCTGATAAATATATGCAGATTTTTCTGGCAATAAATTTTCAGTGGCCTTTTGTGCACTGCATAAGATATCTGGGGGAGTATTATCAAATTCGCTATCGCTAGATAAATTTGAATCCATATCGATTATTACAGATATAATAAACTGCAAATAAAATTTGAATTTAAGTAAACAAACATTAAAAAGTAAAACTTTTTACCTTCTCAAACTTGATTGAGTTTAAAAAAATGCTAAATTGGCTTTAGAATCTAATCTTGAACTTAAGTATACTTTTGTCGTGTTCTGTTATAAGATAGGTACTAATTAAAAGTTTAGAGATTGGCAGTTCTTCTAATCCACACAGCCACGGCCAACTTACTTTTACCAAAATCGACATCCACTGTATGTTTACTTTTAATTAAATCGATGACATTTAGAGAAAATTATAATTAAAATAAACTGTTGATAATTTGTTGGACACTAAATAGATATAAGCAAAAATAATTTATTTATTTGTCTTAGAAGGAGATAGCAAAAAAATGTTAATATAAAATAAAACCACAGCTTATACAATACAGCTAAAACACTCTCTTGGCGGCAAAGGTTTGCGACGATTTCGTCGCGCATCGCTTAAGCTCCGCCTTCGAAGGGAAAAGACGGTTTTGGTGTTCAGAAGCGTATTTAGGTAAGGTGTTGAGTCGTGCGTATAATTTCGTTGATTGTTTAATTTCGTGGAGCCTATAATTTCGTTGATTTTGTTTGAGTTAAAGGTACTGTTATTATTTTGGTGACTCTTTAGCTATGAGTAGAATGAGTGAAAAAAAAAAGACATAATTCTGTTTGTGCAGTCAAAAGCTGTTTTAATAAGGGTTATACCTGCAAGAAAACATTCTTTAGTTTTCCCAAGGACCCAAACCGATAAGTACCACATTATAAGAAATGTTTATTGTTAAAAATATAATTTATACAGGGTATCCCATTAGTGCGTTATTGTTCATTATTTTGTTGTAGACACGCAAGAAAGTTTTAAATAAAAGTTATATGGATTTAAAAATACCTACATATTTTAAAAATATCTTTGGATGTACAGGGTGTCACGTTTTTGACTGGCAAATTAAAATGTATGTTTTTTAAATGGAACACCTTGTATTTTATTTTATGATAAAATTATTAACACCCTAACTTATTGTAAAGACGAATTGATACAGAAAATTTTTATCAGGTATGTGTGTGGTTACCTTTTAATAAAAGCCTTGCGGATCCACTCCTCTGCGATACCTGTCTTAAATATAACAAAGATCACGTTGAATTAGATGATTTTTCTTTTTATTGCTTTTTAAAGGCATATGATAACGCCAATCCAGATACATTTGGAAATCTGCAACTGTCAAATGATGAATTTGTAGAACTAATATTCAATATTGAAAAGATATTTCAAAATAATTTTGAAGAATTGGCTACAAAAAATAACATTTGTACCACACTTTTAGAATTAATTAACCCAATACCCTTTAGTCATCCATGCTAACGTTTTCCAAAAGAATAACTTATTTTATTGTATGTTTAATCTCAATAACTAAAAAATATACTGACAATTAGTTTGACAGAATTGTCATTTATTTAAAATTTTAAAAATAATAGCAGTCGGTTGATCAAAATATGAACGGTGATTGGCGAATTTTTTTTTTTGCAGTGTTCTCACTACCTAGAATGGATAAGAAATATATTCGTTCAATTGAAAGCAATAGCATACTTTTTCGTTTTGTAATCTGTGCATGGATATTAGCCAATCTATGCACATACTACAAAACGAAAAAGTATGTTATTGCGTTCAACTACGAATATATTTCATATCCATTTTAGGTAGTGAGAACACTTTAACAAAATTAAATCTACAAATCACAGTTCATATTTTGGTCACCCAACTCCTATTATTTAAATTTTTTTAAATAAGTGACAATTCTGTTAAACTAATTGTCAATATATATTTTAGTTATTGATATTAAATTTACATTAAAATTTTTGTGTAGACTCGATAAATAATAGCATTTTTGTTTTTATTGTGTCCACATTTAAAAAAAAATAAATTTTAATCAAACTACATGATACTAATTTAATTACGAGTATTAAAACTAAAGTCCTGAAAGTTTCGGTGAAGATGAGGACAGAACATCTGCCTTCCACGCGAAAAGCCCGGGATCGAATCTAGGCCGAGGACTAATTAATTTTTCATGTTAATTTTATTTTATAAATTAGTCAACTTCGTAAATTATTTTAAAATTAGTTATTTTGTCTAAATAACCTAAAATAATTTTTTAAATTTGTAGATTTTCGTTAGTGGGTCGTAGAAAAAATATACTGACCATATCGAGTGGATTGTTCATATCACAATCAGACGATTGAGTACTCCGCATACGACGTCGTGCTCAAACTTCGTCTTTGTGTGATATTGCTATCATATCCACCCTTGTTGAACAAACTATAATTTATTTGTTTTCTTGGTTTAAACCAAAACTTAAGTTTTACATCAGAAATAGGAACTAAATTAATTTACTTTTCAAGTTTTCTTGTAAAAATCGATATTACTTTCTCCAAGTACAAATTTAGTACCTACCTAAAATAAGTACTAATTATGTAATATCGTGTAATATTGTAATTCAAATTTCACATTACTATAAAGTTTCAAAATTCCCTACTTCGGTATGGTCAGATAAAAATTGAATATATTATATTAATAAAAACTGTCAAAGTATTACTTCTACAAATCTATATTTCAATTAATAAGAATACATCTAAATATAACCAATATTGTTAAAATAAAAGCACAAATTCTTTATAATTCCAAAATACCATAGAGTTCCCAGACCTCAGTCGAAGCATTCGTTTATCTAGGTATAAACCCTTTGCGCGAAGAGTAACACTTGCCAGAGACACGGGGTACCACTTGATTTGCATCCACGAGCGTGACACAATTCTTTAACAATTGAAGTCCTTGGTGTAAGAAGGATCCAAGCCACAATTTGTCGTGAAGTGACTGTTTTAGCTCAAAACATTTGTTAACGAGGATTTTACTAGCCACATACAAATTATTTTACCTCTAATCCGAAAGATGTGCTATTTTTCGTAATATTTATATTTAAATAATGTTTCTAATTATATTTGACAGATTTAAAACAAATTAAAAATTTAATTTCCCAAAACTGACTTAATATGGCATGTAACTAACCTTATTACGCCAAGGTTTTCAATTTTTTCTATAATAAAAAAATTGTTTAATCCGGGCCCGACTTTTCCCTCGAATCTAACAGAGATAGCACCATTCCGTCTTGCTTGGTTCTCGACCGCCAGATCAAAGACGCCGACACGGAGTTGTGGAGCTGTATTGTATAAGCTGTGATAAAACGTTATATTTTGTTGTTATGTATAAATTTTGTCAAATTTTACTTTTTTTAACTAGTGCGTAAAGAGTTTTACTTTACGCACTAGTGAAAAAAAGTACAACTTTACACACTTCGTGGAGTGCGTAAAGTACGTACTTTACGCACGGTAGTAGAAAAAAGCATTTTTTAAAAAACGTTAAGATTAATTTTTTCGAAGCCTATCGTGAAATTATTAACTTTTAATCCAGCAACACTTTTTAATGCTATGTGACTCTGCATATGGTAGAAGTATGTAAAGTACCTCACGACTAACCCTAAATATGTAGGTTTAAATATTTTAAAAAAATTCAAAATTATTTTTGTTTAGATGTACCTACTCATATTTTTTTTATTAACTTTTAGGAACTGCTATTCGAATTGTATCCTACCTATTTTAGAAATAAACCAAAGTCGGATACATTAATAAAAGAGTTTCATCCAATTATTAAGGTAAATTCTCTTTAACAGTAACAATTATTAATACCTTTTAATCAGGAGTTGTTTTACACTGAATATGTTCTATTAAAAAAATGTATCTTTACATTTTAGGAGATGCAGGAAAAGTTCGAAGAAAGGTTGGATTTTTCTGCTTATCTATTAACCCCAGTACAAAGACTCGGAAAATATATTCTATTTTTAGAGAATATAGAAAAACAATTAGAAAAATTAGATTTACCTATTGAAAATACTCAAACTGCTTTGGTCATCGTTAGAGATGAAATGTCTAAAGGAAATGATTCAGTCGCCATTGAATCCATTGAACACAGTCCTATTAGCAAAATGGATTACGGATCATTTAAAATGAGAGAGAAATTTAATATAATCAAACCGAGAAAAGTGGAGGCGGCTATGGTGTTCCTCTTCACCAATGTGGTTGTCTTTTCAGTTACAGATACGGTAAGCAAAACCATTTAAAGATAACATTGATATGTTTAATTGATGCTTATTTTTAGAGAAGTTTAGAAACATTTTATTACTACGACAGCATAAAAATGAACGACCTTAGAATAGCTACATTCGACGATTTGACAATGCATCTAACAGACTTTACGAAGAGTAAGAAAAAACAGAATACCAGTAGGTACACCTATATTTTAGAATCTAAATCTGAAAAAATTTGGAAAACTTGGAAAGATGCCATCGAGAAGATTTTGTGGGATCAATTGGTCAAAGCTAAAGGTATATATATATATATATCTCATTTTTTAGGTTCTGTACAATTTGAATTAATAAAATTACTAATTTTTTTTTAGAAAATTCATTGAACAACACAGTCCTACATCGAAGAAAATATAAAATTAATCGAAATAGAATAAAATCTGCAGGTAAGAATAAAATGGTAGGTAAAATTAATCATACAACACAGCGCACTTTCTTATGATATAACCTGAGAAGCTAGTTACAGAAAATGAAAAAAATAAGCAGGAATAATAATGGAATTTATTCTGAATTAAATACTTAAGTAGGTCATGATCAATTTCGGATTAGGACCTCCAGGACCTATCGGTCAGGAAAAAAAATGTTTCACCCTTTCCATAGTCCGATTTTCATTGAAGAGCAAAAGAAGTTCCTTTTACGTATTACAAGGTTTCTTGCATTTAATTATTTGTCTGTTCTTCTCTGCCTGACCGCGGGTCCACTTAGTGAACGAGTGCCTATCGGTCTTTTGACCGGTAGATCAACGGCCCAATCTATATTTGGCCCAATTCGACGCTGGTCATGATGGACAAAGCCAGAAATACGCATCATATCCGTGATAACTATGCGAGTCTCTGAATTAAATCCAAACTGACACTTAAAAAGAAAAGTTAAATACCTAATACGTAACTTTTGTTCAGGGCCTTCTTTAGACAGTGATGGTATAACAACTGTCATATAATTTTAAGAGTTACTTGCATTATTTGGCAGAGTATATTATCAAAATTCCCTGTTTGCAGAATTACCAGATCATCTTTACGTGCTGTTCTTTAAAGATTGTCATTATTGAGGTGGCTAATGAGGGTGTCGACAACCTTGTTCCACAGTAGAGGACATCCTCTCTCAATCAATCTTTGTATATTGACATCTTCTATACTTATGTTTATTGCTCGCTTTAAGAACATGTTATGCATCCATCTAACAACTACCTGTGAAACATTTATGTTGGTTACTAAGTGTATTATCAGAGACAACAGAGACGTGTAACTTAATAGGAAAATATGTTCGGTGGTCCATTTAAATTACATATATGACCCTCTTTTTCTTTTACATTGATCTTTACATATGTCTATCTCTCTCCAATAAAACTAACACCATTTTCAGAGGGCGCTGGTGTTGCTGGTTTTTTGACGTAGAAATATCGATTAAAAGTATTAAAACTGACAACTGACAATGTTATGAATGTTGTTATGAACATGTGCATTTTATTAAAATTAATTTAATTTGGGCCCCATATATTTCTTTTAGGCTGATTTTCTTGTTTAATTAATTTTCGTTGGGGGGAATGTTTATTTTTGCATATTACCTATTTTTTGCATGAAGCAATTTCTGGAACCAAACTCGCGTTTTTGTACACATTTCTTTCTAGAGGTAAGTAATTTCCAATTTATTAAGAAAACCACTGTATAATGTGTGTGTTTAATAATATATTACACAATGACTATAATTATTTTAGGTGAATTGGAACAGAGACCCATTGTTACAGCTACTTGTGTTCATTAAGTAGGTAGATGAATGTCTGGACAGCTTTAATGGCAGCACAAAGTTCCTATCTACTAGAAAAGTAAAATGTATGCTGAGTAAAAAATCTGCACATGTAGTATTGGCAAAGGACTTTTGAAATTATTAGAGATTAGCTATTTCTTACATACACCTACCTCTAACAGCCACTCTAAAGGAAGAAAAAAAAATGAATCACAAAAGGGCAGAATTTTAAATCAGGATGCATTGGAAAATAAATTTGTTGACATCAAGTCGGTTTTGGATTTTATAGAGAGATCAATCTCAAGAAAAGTTAATTTATCCTGCAGAACAACCAGTACTTTAAGTAGGATTTGCTATAACTTTATTAGAAATTTTCTTTGATAATAAATTGTAATATAGGTACCAATTATTGTTTCAAATGAAATTGAAAAAGAGTTAAATATGAAATTAGATTTTTCATGAGTAAAATATTATATTCATTCGAACATTGTAAGGTAATCTATAATTAAGGGAATATGGAAAATAGGTATACCCTGGTGGTGTAAGAGAAAGGTAAGGGGCAATGACAAAAAATTACAAAAATGTATTTATCTTTAAATAGTGTTTATTATTAATAATATTATTTGCTATGTTTGAAAAGTACCTCCTGCTTCTGAACAGATCGAATAGATTAGACTACTAGTTGGAGAAGGTCCACCTAGTAACCAAAATAGGAGACTAGGAAAACTTTTACATGGCTGGGGACACAACAGGAATGCACACACACAAGATACACAAACAAACGAAATAACAGGGGTAAGCCTTCAGCAACGTCCTGTTTAAATGATGATAGTATGTCATCCTTCATTCCCTTTTAGAAGGCATGTCATATAAATATATTGATCTTGATTACTATAAGAGGAGTTAGCAGGGGTCTAGCAGGTTTCGGTCCAGTTTACAGGATGGGAACTTACTTGACTGGGGCCTTATACATTTGTGTTGAGTGTATGTGTGTTTCGTTTCCATGGTTTCTATTAAAATAAACAGTCATAACATATCCATACCTTTTTGCCAGACTAACATAAGTGACGTTTGTTCAAATGGCACTTATGATAGTCTGGCAAAAAGGTATCGATACTATACTTTATAAAATATTTGTTACATTAGTTTTTTAATATATTATGAATATATAACAACTGTTACTTTCTTTGTAATTTGTCACAAAATGATAGGAGGTACTTTTTAAACGAGGCAATTGTAGTTTGTTTTTCTGTACCTTACAAAAATATAATTTATAGAAAAAGAGTTTGGTGTATTATTTTTCCAAGTTTAAATATTTACTAATCAATAGAATTTTCAAGTTTTTTTTTAGCAAAATTTACAAGAGTAATAAAAACTATGTTCACTGTTTATATTAAACTGATTAAAACTTCCTTTATTAAAATGATTATTTATGTGATAAAAAATTTGATGTTATTGGAAGCTTTTATATTTTTTTAATATACAGTGAAACAACAGTATTTGTTTCTCCTGTAAATTTGTATAGAAAAACTTTATTTCTGAATCCATGTTTGAATTTCCCGCCCTAAAGCATTTTTAATTTTCCCGCTATTTACTAGTGGCGCCATCATAGACTTGTTGTGGTTACAATCGCCCAAATAACTTTTACCGAACAAAAAAAATATATTGAGTTACACGTCTCGCTGGATTGCCTCTGGTATTATCTTGGAGAAACACCTTCTATGTCTATGAAAACATACGAGGCAGACTATTTAGTTTACAGGGACCTCTCTATCCGGCCAGCAACTATGTGAAAGGCTGAATCATTAGATCTACCTAAGGTGTACGCATTTTAGGTGTACGCATTATTGGTGTAATGGTATTGTAATCAACACATCCCTTAAGAATATTTCGCATAGGATTTCCAATGTCTTCAGATTAGATTACTTGACCGGTATATTTTTGAGACAATGTAATCCATCCTTTCTCGTTTTGTTATGAAAACAGCTTTTACCTATATCTATACAGGGTGTTAGTATAATTGACCGGCAATGCTCACAGAGAACTCTCGTTAATTGATAAATTTTGATATAGGAACATGAAATCGTAAAGATCTTAGTTACCGATATACAGGATGTTAAAAATTTTAAATTCAAATTCAAATTTTAAATTTTAATTTTGGTAACTTAGCCCTTTAAGGGTCTAATGTACTAACACTCTGTATAACAATTCAATTTCGTAGAACAAAATAGTAGTTTATGCAATTTTAGTAAAATAAATCAGCACTCTAGAATTAAAATAATTTAAAAAGTACTAATTGTTCTTTTATTTTCAGGCTCTTCAGTATTTTATTGTGAATAAATGACTGAATTCGCTACAAATTCAATGAATTATAAATATCAGACCAAAATGGATGCCTATGTAGACCTATTTATTTATTTATATAAAATATATATTGTGATCAAAATAAATATAGTAATAGAATAATAAATAGTATTTTTTAACCAGTGTCTCGGTAGCTCCATTTGTCAAGCAGACGTGTATTAATTAAATTACTATCCTTTAGTATTATGCGACAGGATACATCTGATCCTAAAGAAAAATAATGGAAATTTTTAAATAAATTGCATGGTTCGTATTAGTAAAATTTAATTTCTAAGGAATAAAAGATCATCCAATGTGTCACTATATACTATATACTATATACTATATACTATATACTATATACTATATACTATATACTATATACTATATACTATATACTATATACTATATACTATATACTATATACTATATACTATATACTATATACTATATACTATATACTATATACTATATACTATATACTATATACTATATACTATATACTATATACTATATACTATATACTATATACTATATACTATATACTATATACTATATACTATATACTATATACTATATACTATATACTATATACTATATACTATATACTATATACTATATACTATATACTATATACTATATACTATATACTATATACTATATACTATATACTATATACTATATACTATATACTATATACTATATACTATATACTATATACTATATACTATATACTATATACTATATACTATATACTATATACTATATACTATATACTATATACTATATACTATATACTATATACTATATACTATATACTATATACTATATACTATATACTATATACTATATACTATATACTATATACTATATACTATATACTATATACTATATACTATATACTATATACTATATACTATATACTATATACTATATACTATATACTATATACTATATACTATATACTATATACTATATACTATATACTATATACTATATACTATATACTATATACTATATACTATATACTATATACTATATACTATATACTATATACTATATACTATATACTATATACTATATACTATATACTATATACTATATACTATATACTATATACTATATACTATATACTATATACTATATACTATATACTATATACTATATACTATATACTATATACTATATACTATATACTATATACTATATACTATATACTATATACTATATACTATATACTATATACTATATACTATATACTATATACTATATACTATATACTATATACTATATACTATAT